GGAATATTGTACTGAAAACATAAAGAACAGGATTGGATTTGCCGCCATACGTCTTGTCTGAGTTTGGGCCAAAAAAAACGTTCGCGTAGGGTCTGGTACACTTTTTTCCACCCCGCGTGTCCCAACTCCTCGTGGTATGCTGCGATAATGTCCGGTCTGTCCTCCGTGGGGGGGATCCTGCGCGCGTCTGCTGCGTTTAGCAAAATTCGACTAAGCGCGTCAGGGCCCTGAAGCATACTGCCCGGTCTGTAAACTAATTGCATATCAAAACTAGCTAACTTCATGCGCATACTAATCAACCTTTCTGTTTTCAGTTCCCCGAGGAGTGCTTTATGATCTGTATTAACCGTAAACTTGCAATGTTCCAGATGATGACAGAATTTCTTTGTCACACTCCATACGACCGCGAGTAACTCCCTTTCGGTATTCGTATAGCGGGTTTCCACTCCGGTTAATACCCTGCTTGCATATTGCACTACTTGTTCTGCTCCGGTTTCGTAGGTTTGAACCAGTACCGCCCCTAGACTCGTAGACGACGCGTCACAATGTACCGCAAGTGGCAGTTTTGGATCCACTCTTTCGAGTTTTGCTGTGTCCTCGAGAACTTCTTTGAGATGGTCAAAAGCCTGGAGCGATTCCGGTTTCCAGTCGAGTTTCACTGCCGGTTTCTTTGGGATCGTCCCGCGGAGTAATTTTTCCGCGTCAGCAAAATTGGTTGGCAAGTGCGCGCGCAAATAAGTTGCCATGCCTAAAAAACGTAACATTTGTTGCGTAGTTTCCGGAAGCGGAAAGTTGCGTACTGCGGTGACATTCTTTTCTGCCGGCCGCATTCCGGTTTGATCAATTTCGTGCCCCAAAAAAACAAGTTTCTTGGCTAAAAATTTCGACTTTTCGATGTCGATAGCTGCTCCCGCTTGATGCAAGGTTTTAAGGATTTCCGCAAGGTTTTTGCATAGCGTACCAAAGTTCTCGCCAAAGACAATGATATCGTCCATATATGCTAAACAGCGCCGGTTTAAATGTTTCCGCAGGATCGTATTGATCGTTCTCTGAAAAATCGCGGGTCCCGTTTTTAAACCAAAAGGTAGAACTTTGTATTGGACCTGTCCCCGCGGGGTGGTAAAAGCTGTTTTAGGTCTGTCCTCGTGTGCTAACGGGACATGATGAAATGCGGAATGAAGGTCTATTGTACAAAAGTACTGATTGTTCCTACCGAGCGAGTCTAACAATTCCTGAATTACTGGCATCGGATAATGATCTGCAATTAGTATTTCGTTCACCGCCGTATAATCCTCCACTAGCTGCCAGCGTTTATGAACTAAGGCGGTTTGATCATTACAATTTTTTGCTGTTAAAAAAGCTGGAGAATTATAGGGCAATTCCGCTAATTCTAAGATACCATCTTCTAGATATAGATCTATTAAATCCGTGAAGGACGTATGCCGATCGGAAGAATGGCGGTACTGCTGGGTTGCGGGTGGGGCAGCCTCTATTGTCGGTAACCGCGCCACATGATCCACAAACAGGCCCCTGCGCCCGGACCATTGATACACTACAGATTCGTACTGCGTTAAAATACGTTCGATTTGACCCCTTTTGTCCGCGGTGCTGTCAACAAAATTGATGCCGTGCCCTGTGGGCATAGTCGGTTGCGCGGGAACAGCCGTAATTTCCTGAAACCCAGTAAAAATTTGTTGACCGTCCAAATTAATCGCGAGAGGTAAGAGCGCGAGCGTTGTTCTTCCCAAGATTAGGGGAAATTTGGAGAGTTTAGGCAACACGATAAATGATGCGCGCATCTTTGTCCCATGAAATATGAATTCTAGCTGTACCAAATGATTCGCCTGAAGGGCGTTATCGCCAAGAGCGGTCTGTACCGCAATTTCAGAAGAATCAGTCTGTAATTTAAGTAAACTCACAAGATCGGCTGATATAAATGAATGCAATGCTCTGGTATCCAGGAGCGCGGAGAAATTCTGACCGGAAATATTAAGCTGAAGCACGATAGGAGGAGGTGCGGCTGAGAGTTCCAAGGAAGCACAGTGCGCCGCATTCACTGTGCAGTTTTGGCGTTTCCCTGGATCTGCGGACAATCTTTTAAAAAATGGCCAGGTTTCTGGCAATGAAAACAAAGAGAAGCACCCGAGTCATTATATGAACACGTCGTATTTGTATTTGACTGGGGAGCCGCGGAACTCGAAGCTGGGTTTTTGTTTCGCGATGTAGAGTTCAAACTGGGGCGTAGTCGGCACTCGTGGCTGCCGTGCCGCATGTAACGACCGTGATGCTGGCACCATTGGCGAGGTGGTAGCGATGACCGGTGTCTGAAGTTGTTTTTCACGGTACCTGACGATGATGAGCTTCGGACATGGTGGTTGAGTCGATACGATTCGGCAATCTTGATCATGTCGTCCCAGGTCATCGTAGGTTGCCGGAGCCACTTCTTTTGCAGTTTGTCCTTCAGGCCGCCGTCTGAGATGAAGAACAGCTGCTCCATGAAGATCTGCTGGAGAAACGGCTCTCCCATTTTGAGCAGGTTTGGAGGGAAGCGGAGGAATGCTTTGTACTGGTCCCGCATGCGTTCGGCGAAACTGAAGTAGGACTCGTCGGACTCCGGTTTCATGCAGCGGAAGGTTTCGAGGCAATCCAGATGCGGCGTGGGGTGTCTTCGGGTGATCACTTTGACGAGTTGGTTGAAGTCGGTGGTCCCCCTCTTGTGGTGCCAGTTTGCCGTGCTCTGGATGTGCGGCAAGGTGTTCTGCAGCAAGCAACGGATCAGGTGTACCTCGGTGATGTTGTCGACGGCCGGGAGGTTGCAAAGACGGATGACGTAGTCTTCGAAGGCCTCATTCTTGTTCTGCTTCGGCAGGTCCGGACTGTGCAGGTTGGCGAACCACTTCGGCGGAAGGATGGGGATCTGCTGTGGGTCTTCGACGATTGTTGCCAGCTCACGAGAAGGAGCTATGCCAGGGGGACGTGGCAGGGCTTGTAAGGCTGTGACAGGGATTTGGAATCTGTCCAGCTGCGCTGCATATTCCGCTTTGGAGTTGCGGGTAGGTCTGCCCAGGCAATAGGTGTTGACGAGGAGCTGCAACGTGGCGATTGGAAGACTTTCCCAGACGCTGGATGCATTGGAGGCTTCACTGCCTGGTCGTTTGGACGCCGCACCCGCTTTGCCCGTCTCGGATTCGGAGTCTGAATGAAATTCTTCAGCATCACCCATCGCGGCTTCCGCCGCGGCTTTGGAATTGTTGGTGTTGCGTTTCATTTTTCGTGAACGTCGGGTACAGCTCGTGATTGATCACAGGTCCAAGTTTAACGGACGAGCCCCCAGTAAGAGTTTCGGGGAATAAATCTTTGGTCACGGCTTGAAGTACAAGTTTATTTCAACGACGTCACAACACCACACTAAGTCAGAGTTAAAAGGTCAGAAGGACTGTACAAGTCGAGGTCCAAGAACAGAATGACTTCCTTGTGCTGCTCTCAGTCGCTCCTCTCCATCGTGCTGCTGATCTAGAGATAAGTGTAACTAAGCAGTTGGGAAGAGTGACTCGTAAAACCTAATATAACCAGATGTCGCTCTTGTAAGTCATCGTAATGCCTTACTGCACTGAGCTGCTGATGTAAGACATGACGGTAGGAACTCTTTGTCGCTGCTCTTTGTAATATCTAATATGGCATCTTACCTCCCAACTTATTTCTCCTTCAGAGACAAGGATTCCTATTCAAACCAGACCCTGGACGTTTTCAAAAAAAAAAAAAGGAAGCTTGGTGTTTCCAGGCGCATATATCCTTTAATTATGGTCCAGGATATTAAAGAACAACAAAAATAGGCCAGTTTGAGGCCGAGAAAGAATAAGTCTTTATAGTTTGGTTGTAATTTCAGACGACAATCAAATACAGTCAGCAGTGTCACTTGCCCACATTTTTACAAGAGGAAAAAGTACCCTGTAACTTTTTATATGGCAGCAAAGGATTAAATGAGGTGTTTTTATTTGTGTGTATATCCTTATTGCCTGGTTTTAATGCTTGGTTTTCATGGCTGGTCTGCTTCTGCTATATGTGTGGCATGGCAGATGATCGTAATGTTTTTATTTGTTGGTTTCTTCAGTTTTTATAACTGTGACTTACTCCTCGAGTGTAACTGCCAGATATCTTGCGACGAACAAACAAAAAAAACTCTTTGGCGTTCCCACTCGTCTGTGCGGCATGATGATGGCCTCCTTCCAGTGTTATTTAAGATTTACTCAAATGCGTCCTTCGCAGCTGCTGAGTCCTTCTTCTTCCTCTCCTTCAGACCAGATAATGGCACGTTTCGCAAAGACGGATGCCCACTATTGTGCCCTCACTGTTAGACCATCTCAGTGACAGGAGAAGCAAGGCCCCGTGATGCTTACCATCAGGGAGGCGAGGTGCATTATGCTGATGGAAAGGCCTGGAGAATTTTATCACCCTCGGAGCCTGGGTTCATTGTTTCCCGGGGTTTGACCTGCGGTCTGTTCGTATATCGTATATACGTGCCAGCATTTCTCGCTGGCTGGCACAAAGCGGGGCTTAATGAGAGCCCAGAAGGAGGAAAACAAAAAGGGTGTGGGAAGTTTCTGTGCTTCTGGGTAATGATGGCGACTGATGCTGGCGAGAGGTTCTTATGGTGCGGGATATATTTTTTGGGGGTGGGTATTTATTTATGGAGTTGCCGATCTCATGAAATAAGGCTTATCACTGATATTTTCGTTGCTAGTGCGCTGATCTATACACATACATTGCCAGTGAAATAAAATAACAAGAATTTCGCCAAATGCACAGCTTATTGTGCAGGTTGTACTAATTTAAAGAAAACTAACGTCGAGGAGTTCGCATGTCAGGGTGATATTTTGACTTCCAAACATGTAAGTTATTCATAAATGTTGCAGTGCAACTTCTTTTCCTTTTTCTTCGGACGTTCTCAAACCTTTTATTTGTGAATAAATTGTTTGATCAGGTTTACATTTCATATAAATATGCCGACGAGGGTCGGTTAGAAATATTTTTGTGTCATTTTCCCTCCTCCATTGTCGGAGTTTTGATGCATAATTTTTGACGCAAAAATATTTCACATACTTTTTTATTATTGTCCCATTCTTGCTTTTCGTGGTTGCTAAAATTGAGTTCAATTGGTGAAAAAATATGTTCGCCTTCTTGAAAGTTGAAAAAAACGTGTGCTCTCCAAATGCTAACATCTCTGAAAATCATTTGTTCCGGTAAAATCGCTGCTCCATTTTTGTTTCATTGATAAAACTGAATTTGAAGATTAACTAAAATTTGGATTATAGTCAGCAAGAGGTTTTCCAAGTTACGATTTAATTCAATCAAATTTTTCCATTGAACCCAATTACCGAACAGTCGTTTCCAGGATTCTGGCCCAAATTCTTGTAACAAACTTCATGAATAAATCCACTGGAAAACGTGTAAATCATCCTTAAGGAAGGCAATGGTGAAGAACGATACTCAATGTGGATAAAAGAAGAAAGGAGCACCAGAATCCGGGACATCAGTCGAAAATTTTATTTTCAGAGTGGCTGGCTCTAAAAATGATTGAACTTAATTGCATGTAATTGGTTTCACTCAGCTTCACCATTTTCCAGACAAGTTTTACCAGCACACATTCTTTGGCTTCAATCAGATGCTCTTGGAGTTCCGAGTACCTCTCAAGCATGTTTTGGGCTTCTCGTTTAACAATTAAACTCAATAGATTGAGGGTCACGCCGTTGGCAGGATTGTTCAAAGAGAAAATATATATATATGAAGGAAATATGACGGGCAGGGTTTCCACCTGCATCTTATTGAGGACTGGGGAAGAAAAGAGGGGTCGTGTGCGAATATATAAAGGGAAGACCAGAGGCATACGAGGTGCTGCATGACAAAGATTCCATTACGGGGCCGCAGGTCGGGAATTTTGAGCAGGCATTCAGGGCACGGTCAGGCAGCAAAGCCACTATACGGATTTCCTTTTTATCTTACTCTTCTTTTTCTTTCGCCATCGAACGGGAAATGAGATTCATCTCAGGTCAATTTCCCGTCGATGATGGCACAATCGAAGTCTTCTTGATATTCCCGAGGTAGAATGCGTACTTGCGACGACCTCATCGTCGAGTCATCGTCAAATTTTCTGCCCTTGCTTGCTGTATATATGCATGCATTCATAGAATACAGAGCCCATCTGATTCAAGTACAAAATTTCTGGCATATCAATGATTCATTTTTTAAATGATTTGTTTGCAGCATAATTTCAGGAATATTTTTGAAGGAATTATCCCTGGGGATGATGTCGCTTCGTGCGTGTCACTCTCATTCTTTTAAGAACAAAGAAAAATTATCTTCTTTTTTATATTCGGTCTAAACCAAGAGAAGGCAGTTAATTCAAGCTCAATAAATTTCAGCCTTTCATGGAACATTAAAGCACGGAATACAATCACCATAATTTCTTCACGTCTTTCAATACAAGAAAACCATTTAATATCCTCTTATCTTGAGTTTCCGTTCGAACTTGTACCAAGGCAATTTCCATACAGTACTAAAAAGGAGGGAAATTGAAAAGACTCTGCGTTTTTTTTTTTTGTCTCACGGTTTTTTTTTTGCAAGAAATAATCATAAAATCAGGAAAATATGCAGCGAACACCTACTTTCAAACCGCAGAATCTTCTGAGCTATTCAAGTTTATGCGTGTTTATTGATCATCATACTCATCAGTATATCAAGCTTTTTTTCTATGAGGTGAATCATGAAGCGGGAAATGCAGTTTTTTTCACGCAATGAGAACTCTGTGGAATTAGCAGTAGTAGGTCAGGAAAACTTCATTTCTCTGTCAGTAAAATGCGGTTTCGTTTCTTTGCTATGGCTGACAAAGAATATCACTTGCATAATTGAAATACAGTATTCAAAATTTGCTGAGATGCGCATTCAAGAAATTCCAATGCCACTATAAAACCTTGAAATGTATCCATTATTCAAAAGATGATTAAAAATGCATTTAATGCTTCACCGAAGCAATACTGAACATTCAATCGTTGAAGAAATCTTGTAGCTTAAAAATACATGGAATCTTATGTGTGATAACACCAACTTTCGCAAAAAGCTGGCTAATACTGGAAAAAATCGATCTCAAATTGTATCAGAATTTTGGAATAAAATTCAATCAAACAACGCACACTCGAAAGATTTGCATAGAAGCTTACATGAAAATCTTCAGACTGAAATATTCCTATCAATGTTACCCAACATTTCAAGTAATAGCTTTAATAATCATGAATATACTTTGGCTAATAATTTGTATATTTTCTCAACTCCAGCTTTGTACTGCATATGCTTTCAAACTTCCAAGAAAAAATCCTACGCGACTCGCGAAAGAGCTCATGAATAAGATGGCTACGGCAAAACGGAGACGGGCTGGAGTATACTTGTAGTGCTTCATTTTTAACGGGAGATGTGACGTACGTGCGCAGGAGCTTCCCAAACATCATTATCACATTAATGAATATATTTCTAACAAAACTGTCGTCCATTTTCTGTCTATTACAGGTGCGATGGGCGACGACGAAGGCGGCGACAAGGAGAAGGACGAAGAGGCGGAGCGGGAGCGTCTGGAAGCCATTGCCGAGGCCGAGGAGCGCAGGAAGGAGAAGCACCGCAAAATGGAGGAGGAACGAGAGCGAATGCGACAAGAAATTCGCGACAAAGTAAGTCCAAATCTCACTCATTCACTGCTGCCCCCGTATTTTGGCAGTATTTCAGTGTTCGAAATTTGCAAAACTTCCGACGTGCGCCACCGTCCGCAACTCTATATGCTGATGGACTCATTTTTAGGATTAATACAACCCCTACATAATAACGAATAACCCGCTCATGGGAGCGAATGATGCTCTTCGCGCCCCGAATTAAACCTGCTTCTATGTCTAAGCCTTCTTTCTTCATCTCCGTAATTAACGTCAAGTGCGAAGAAGCTCCGAGTGCAGTAAAAAACAGGGCTTCTCGGATAAAAGAGCATTTTCTTTTTCCAGGGGTTTTCCCCTTGGAAATTCGCGAGAAATAGAGCTCAGTACAGTATTCTATTTTTTTACACATGTACAGTGTAAGAAATGCGCGGGATTGAAGTGTGAATGAGTCAAGATTATCATTTTGAAAATTATGTGGTCTAATGTTTACAGCATACTTAAATTCCTCTCCTTGATTTTTTTCGATCGAAAACAAAAACTAGGTATAGGCTGCAAATAAGCCAGCAGGGTGCATCTCCAGTGCGATTCCCGGTAATTCTTCAAAAGTAAATAAAAGTAATACGTGTTCTTCTATCACAGACTGAAGATTTCAAAATTACCAAAAATGGTATTGATTTTGTCTCAAGTAGTTCATGTTCCTGATCGAAGGACAGAATGCAAAGAAAAATCAGGAACAAAATCTGCTGTGGACAGTTCCAATAAAAAAAAGAATAAAATTCTAGCTATACGAAAGAACTGAATAATTTCTTCGGTCTCACACATGAAAATGAAAGGCACAAATTTCACGGGGTTTCAAAGCTTTCAAGATTCGTGTATGAAATTTTAGTTACTGCAAATGATATAAAAAATTTGTAAACGTGTGCGATCGGTTTGATTTTTCACAATGAAAAATATGGAAGATGTATCGCACACGAAAAGACTAGGCTTCAAGTTTTTGGTCTGCAATTTTCTTCGGCCATTTAAAAATTATGTCTGTGCCATTTAAATTTTGGTAGGGCGTGTTCCTTTAACGCAGGTCATAGCAGTTATTGATCGTCAATTATATAACGATGAAGTTCTTTGTGGCATGTCCATTTATGCGTCTATACTTAGCTTAATGATCGTGCAATTCCCCGGCGATATTCGATCAAATATTCAATAGAAACGAATAAACGAGGCATTGAATAATGTACTCTTGTACTTCAATAATGAACCTAACCTCTTCATGGCCAATGTTTCAAATTAGCTGCTCTATTATACCCGGCATGCTTTGAAAATGCAATTACTGTAATTTCCTTTTTTTGAAAATTTTATGAATGACATTACTCACTCGGGGGTCGTCGGCATTGTGTTGGAATATTTTTTGGAAGAACTACAATATTTTTGATATTTTTTCAATCAGAACTTTATAAGGTGGTAATTTTAATCAGGATTAATTAGCTTATGCATGCGGATTTTGGAACATTTTATAAGTACAGTTTCATTCCTCAGTAGGAGATCCTTATCGTGTTAAGATATTTCTTGGAAGCAATTAAAATTTTACTGCACGGCTTTCTACAGGCAATCCCAGTCGTAAGTCAGAATTAAATTGGTACCTTCAATCAGAATTGACGGAGCTTATGCATGGAAATTTCAGAAACATCCTCAAGACGTATTTGTAAGCCGATTTTGAGGAAGAAAAGATGCATCGTCTGTCTAAATGCGCACTCTATTTAAGCATGAGGCTTTTACAAAGAGTGATGTGCGCTCTAAGTTCTACAGTAAGTTGCAGGACGAAGATTGAATTACGGCGAAGGAAGATTCGCCGTGATACCGAGTAACGTTTCTGCATTCGTTGCGGAAGGAAAACACGTATCGGAAACCCGACCGGAAGAAGAGAAAATAAACGAGGCAGGAAACCCGGCCTGGCAAGGATAATCTCTGTTCCTATCTCAGGTTTCTTGGAGAAACGATACCCGCGAGCTGAATCCTTCGGTCCATTCCAATTAGCTTAGCGTCAATGTAATTAAGGAGTCTGATTCCCATTTGCCTTAATTGACATCTGTCACATGCACGAAGCTTCGGAATTAAGGCAAAGCGGATTTTCGGTCGGGTTTCTTGACGATGAAGCGGGCTAACATTGAAAGCGTATGATTTTGGAACCAGAATATATAATCTGATGGGATCGACGAATTGTCGGTCCACAGCAGTATTTATGGAATTCAAAAGCCCTACACTGATGAGACGACGTAAATTTGCTTCAGAAGTGCGACCGAGTCGAAAAATTGAATAATTTTCCGCAAATAAGTTGGGGTTACCTCGAATCAAAGTGACATTTTTGGGTTTTAAAAAATTACATTCTGAGGATTTTGCTTTGCTTTCTTTTTTTTCAATATTAAATCATCAAATAATGGCTGGCTTAAATATTTTTTCAGTGCCTCGAACTTGCTATTTATCGCCTGACAACGACTACAAATTAGACTCCACGAAACTCTCGGGAATAAATGGCGATAAATTGATACATTTCAAGCTTTTTTGTGCGGGATCTCTTTTATTGCACTGATGACGTGCATAACCTTTTGTTTGATGAATTGACAATTTCCAGTGGTAACATCAGTAAAACAAAAAAGGTTAAGATCATAATACCAATTCATCGGATGATAATCAACAGGTCTGATTTACTCAAACTCTTTCGAACGGATCGAAATACAGCAGCTCCTGATTTATTTTTCAAGCAGCCAGGACAAAATGTAATTGTATTATTATGATGAATTCGTTTATAACATTTGTATTTTCTAAAATTCAAAGTCAGTCAGCAAAATACGGAGCAGGAGTATACGGGAATGATGGAATATTCTTTTGAAATATTTGCGGTAATATTACCCACACATTCGAAAAAAAATCAGCCATGGGGATGAAAGAGCAAAAACTGTCCCAAATTATTTATGAACCGTCGTGCATAGTTTTGCTCACCAGTTAGAAAGCAAATAAGTGCAGTAATTTGCCGTCATGCAGAATCAGACGCGTATCTGATTAAAAAAGAAGATCAACAACTTGTTAAGAAAGCGCTAGATAGTTCTAATTTTGCGTAAGTTTTCGAAACAATTGAATTATCTTCGGGAATTGAAGCTTTTCAATCTCATTGTTAAATTATATGACGTAAAGCATTATACACGCGTTCTTGCGTCGTGAGACTCGTGACACGCGTCTCAATCACGGTAATTCTTTCATCATTGATTTGCTGTCAATTTTTCATGAGTTCGGCTTTGTGACGTGAGTCGTTAGCATACGTCGTAAATGTTATTCATGCTTTGACGCGATTTATTGGAACTACCTCGACAGTTCGGAATCGATTTTATGTGGTAAGCAAGTCACCCACACCGTCATGGATGAACGACATTGCTCGTTGTTGTGAATAATTAATTCGGTTTCCTTCGGAGAAGTTACAGCAAAGAGGAATTGCGGTACTTTGCGATTTCAATCGTTTTGTACTGACCCTTGTTGCGCATGGGAGAATGGCTGAAAGTTTTCGGAAAACTCTGCATACCAGAGGTTTTGGCAATCAATATCATGTGATCAGAAAAACTTGCGATTTATTCCCGCTATGATTTGTCATGATGAAATTTTCATTGTTCAAGATCAGTAAAGAATTTAAAAGCGTTGTTCACTTCTTCATTTTGATTTTTGAAGTAGTAAAATATTTAGGCATTTTAGGTTATCTTAAATCTTAGAATGACTGATGCTTACGAACGGATTTCTTCGCGCTGGGTATTTTGTTGAGAGAATTTTAGATTTTAGTTGTGTTTAAAAATCGACGATTCAAAATGTGTATGCACAGGTGCCTTACCTAATTTTTCTTCATTATATTTTTGCAGTACAACATTCAGAAGAAAGTGGAAGAGTCACACGCTGCACAAGATGCCTTACCAGAGAACTCCCTCAACAGGAAGAAGAAAACACCTGAGGAATTGGCTGCAGAAGCAGAGCTTGCGGATCAGGACGAGTTCACCAGTAAGAAAATACTGCAACGATAAAAAAATGCCGATCATTTCAACTTAAAATAATAAAACTGAAAGCTTATACACGATACTTGAGTACTGAAAATCATTCTCCGTTGGCACCCCGGATCATAAACACCTCATCCTTTGAAATGGATTTTTCACGGAATAAACTTTGGCCATTTCTTCGGATTATGAACTGCATATGGAATATATGAGATTGGACTTGGATAAAATCAAAATTTGACTGCCAACGAAATTTTCAAATTTATTTCAGCTCTTTCTATATTCTTGCACGCGAGGTGAACAATGCTTATTTTGTTCCCTGTGCGTATATTATTTTGTAATGCTTCATATGTTATGTTTTTAAATTTGCTGAAAACGTTGGAAATACTTTTTCACTGATCCTGGTTTAGAATTTTAATTGTATGCGTTGGTATATATTCTAACTTTTTTGGATTTTGGTCCTCATATAATTAGCAAATGTACCTAAGCCGCTGTTCTTTTCCCTCTGTCCTTCCTCGTTTTGATTAGTCTTATATTAACGCCTCATAAAGTCATAATGATCATATGAAATAGAAACTACGAAGGAAAAAACGAGATGATTAATCGGTTCCTGTTTTTGCAGAGTTGAAGAACCAACTTGAGAGCCAAGTGACAGAGATCAAGAGTCAAATCGAAGGAAAATGCGTTGTGCAGTGACCGAAACTCGTTTCGTCCCCATCCTGCAACGAACCTCTTCCGAAGTGCTCGCAAAGCTCTCCCAGAAGAAGAAGAAAAGAATATAAGAAAAATACAAAAAAGTTTTTCGTTACAGAAGAAAAAAATTTAGAGCCAATCGGCTCGTCATACTAAAACTTTAACCTAGCGTGAAGAAAAAAAAAACTCGATCGGCGTGTGCGAAGAAATGGAAATCGAACGCCGATTCTCTTTAGCTTGAGCAGCGCTTTTCTTTTCTTTTTAGCAAAAAAAGGGGGGAAACAACGGAATGAACTGTAATTTGCGAATTTCGGGTTGCAGGAATATTTAGCGTGAAGCAATGCCAGCCCGTTGTGCGTGGTTGTGGTTACAAATTGAGTGGCTGAGCTGACGTCAGGGAAAAGGAAAAACGTTTTTTTTGCTGCTGGTTTTTGCTTTTCTTTTCTTAAAAAAAATTAATTTTGCGGGGGGAGACGATGATTAGCCCAGCAGGAAAGTTTTAGTGCGTTCGCAAGTGAATTGTTGGTGATCATTCAGTTGCTCTGGATGTCTTGTGATCGAAGCTATTCGTAGGCGGAGTTTCGTGGCATTTCAAGATGACCGGCTTTTGTGATCACGGAAGTTCTCAATTGCCTTCTGTGTATCGCGGGAAGCTGTTATGCGAGATGAACCAAGTCTTTCTGTTTTGTCAATGTTTCGGCTTTGAGGCTTTAGCACGGGTCGTGTCCAGCACGAGCTCGTTTTTTCCCCCTTCTGTAACATAAGTCTGTAGACACTGAACTGTATACCTTCCGAATGTCTCGCCCCAGATTTTCAGCCCCTTTTTTCCTCAGTTGTCCGAGTGTCGTCTGAACAACCATTGCTGCACTGCGAGTGGAAGATTTTTTTCGGAGGACGGGAGACTGTTTATTAAATATTCCGCAGACTTTAGAGATTTTCTGGTATCGTTGAAAAGAAAATTCGTGCTTTTTCAATGCGCATCCTTTTGTAGACTATGAGCAATGGACAGCGTTTCTGCGTCTTGCTTGAGCTGAAAAAAGGTGCCGATTTGAGTGCGTGAGGGTTTTTTGCGAGGTCTTTGAAATTCAGCGCTGAGTCGCTGTTGAGGCCGTGTGACTGCGTGGGTTTTTTCTCCTGTAGTTTGATCGTAGGGCGATGATCAGGCGTCGTTTTTTGGTCTGAATAAAAAAAAAATGTGTGCACTGATGTAGTCAAAATGTCAGAATAATGAAATTTGCGAAAGGATAAGTGCAGCAGCGGTTGGAACGACGTGCTTTTACCCCATTCATATTAGAAACTCTGGCCTCGTCGCGTTTGGAAACTCACAAATTTCTGGACCACTTGTGAAGGGCCAAACGCTTCAGCCGGATTAGGAAACATCGCGTTTTGTTTTTTCAAGTGCAAACCAATTATATTTTTTTGTTTTTGTTTCGGTTTTCTTTTTTTGACTGGAAAGTGGTTGTTTTTAACCTGGAGCCAAGCTACTCACCTATCCACATGTATCGCGTGTGAGTGAAGAATCGTTACTTGAGCTGGAGAAGGGCATTTTGCCCAGTGAGTTAAACGTTGCATCTTTTTGCAGAGCAGACTTTTAGCGAGGTTCGGATTCGTTTCGGCTTTTCTTATTTTTTATCCTTTGACGGAGCAGGAGGGTTTGGGGGAATGTTAGTGTTGATAATCGCAAAGCAAGGGAAAAAATCACAATCACTTCGTGGCGAAATCTTGGGTTGCCTTCGAGTCGGTTAATTAGGCGGATGACCAGAAGACGCTCACGCCTTTATTTGCATGCCATGTGTGTGAGGGAAAACGGGAAGGAGCCGCGGGTGGTCTGTTTATGATCGTTAGTTGAACAAAGTGATGCTGAAGCTATGTACCAGGAGAGGAGCAAGGAAAAGTTCTTTTCAGGAAACCAATTCTTGCGTTTCATTGCAATTTTCATTTATCGGACGAACGAGAAACTGTAGGGACACCTTTTCCTTGCCAAAATTGGCCCCAGAAAATGTATGTTGCGTCTTACAAGCAATCTCACCTTGGTTACAAATTGGCATAAAATTATCCCGCTGATTGAAGCGATTTGATCCTTATTATTCACAGTGTAGTACTGTACTTGAAAAAGTGAAGAATGCAGCATGGACTGCTGCTTGCTCCAAATCTAAGCGATATTATTTGAAGGAACTCGGAAGTATCGAAAGAGAGTTTATTAGGGACTTCGGAGTCATTAATGCTGATTATGACCAGCATAGGCAAACCTATAATTTCTTCTGAAAACGTTTTAAACTCGTCGGACAATGTGGGTTGCTTAGATGCACACAAAACGCGCAAAAACTACAGCTTCAACAATAAATGAGCCCAAGATTTTTAACACAAAAATGAAACTCATCAACAGACATTGGGATTGTGAAAGGCAGCATATCCGAATCATTATTGTACACTGTATATACAGTATTCAATTTATAGTAACCAGCACGCCGATGTCATTTGTAAGTCCTCTCGATGATGGTGAAGGATCATGGCCAGTGGCGGCCTTAGGGTGGGGCAAGAGGTGCGGCCGCCCCAGGCCCCGCGCTTGAGGGGGCCCCGCACTTGAGGAGGGCCCCACGGTACTGTGGCTCTGAAAATTGGCTGACCCCCTCAAAATTGTTTCCACTTGCCTTGAAAGTGGAAGGAGTGGGCCCCTTCAAAACGGACTTGTTTATTCTTACCTCTTTACAAAGTTTGCTGTGGATTAGTAATCTGATCTACAATAAGTAGAGCACTACAGAGCCAACAATGCATTCAGAAGTATATTGGCATAGGAGCTTTCCTACTGCGTACACATTTTTCAATCTTCAGTGGATTTATTTTGAAGATAAATTCATTTTTATATTTTATAAAGTGTTGTCAAGTTCTTATCAATAAGAATTTTAAATAGAAACAATGCATCTTGAATTTTAAATGGCCATTAAATAATGGCAACCATCAATGTTAATCTTTCTCATATATTTTATGTAATGAGGGTCTAATTTTCAATCAATATTTCTAAATATGATGATTATCCATGTTTACAATGAAATTCATATTCATTCATCATGACTTCAGAGTAAATATTCTGCTTTCTCTATTACAGGTAGAACAATATTGTTGCTGGACCTTGCTAGAGCATGAAATTTATTGATATTAATTATCTTCCGCAATTGCATTTCCAGTGTATCCCTGGCAAACCCCACTAAGACAATTCCTTTTGAATCCCTTTGCATGGAATGTTTTTGGCTTTAAATAAGCTAGTCCTCTGCTATAAAATGTGGGCCAAATTTTATAGCAGCTGTTCCAAAAAATGAGAAAAATAATACCTCTGATGTTTTTAAAAACAGATGAGCTACATTTCTACATGTTGGTAATGTGTGAATAAGTAACAGTTATAAGAAGGTCTTCTTGATCAACCTGTCCTTGATCAATTTTTTAAAGCCCTTTCAAATTAAACCTGAAGATAATTCTCAATGTAACTCATACAGATACATTTTCCAGAATTACACAAAATTATATCTAATCTGCGGAATTTTAAGATAAATGAATGCTGAGCAGCTTAAATTGGTTTCAGGAAGATGATAACCATTTAGTTTTGATTAGCTGCACTTCTTTTCTGCAGTAATTATGATTGCTATTATAGTAATTTTATTTGCAATGGCCATTTTGGTTGGTACTTGTAAATTTTGAATATTTGAACATACAACCAATTCAGCCAAAACAAACAATCCTACATTTAAAGAAATAAGAGATGCTAGTACAGTACAAGTAATTGATGAAAAAATTCTAAAAGTTTATCTTAGAAACTTGCAAAAGACCTTTTTTAGCTTCCAAGAAACTCAACAGTATTTGCTGCTTTATTTTAATTTAAATCTTTTTTTTTCAAATGGTGTTCAAGAATAGGCAGGGGAGCCTTTTTGAGGGGCCCCACATTTGTCTTCTGCCCCAGGCCCCGCAAACCCTAGGGCCGCCTCTGATCATGGCCTGGGAAAGTAAACGTGAATACAGTTAAGCATTTATATGTAAGTATATTACTGTATCTATCATTTGATGAGATTAGGTATAATTTGTATAACGTACTATGGCGTGAATTCTGACGGTTAGATGCAATAAATACTTGATATGCATATTTTTGAGGTTGAACGTTGAAGGAGTGGAGCATCTTAAATTTATGTCGTAAAGATGTCACACAGAACAATCATTCATTTGATAGATGTCGCAGTTCATAGATGTCGCAGTTCATAGATGTCGCATATATTTTTGAGGTTGAACGTTGAAGGAGTGGAGCATCTTAAATTTATGTCGTAAAGATGTCACACAGAACAATCATTCATTTGATAGATGTCGCAGTTCATAGATGTCGCAGTTCATAGATGTCGCAGTTCATAGATGTCGCAAGTGTCAAGCATCATGGCTGCGCGCTCGGGTTTGGCGGTGGGTGATCCCTCGTTGGGTGGGTCTACGATCGCTGGTGGATTTTTCCGCGCTGAACGCTTGAGCAGTGGTTCTGTGCTCCACGTGGAGGGTTAATTCAGCATTTATTAAAAAGTGGTATCTGCTTCCGCGCAGTAGAACTACCGCCCGAGTGTTCATCGCCGAAAAACTATGTAAGAGGTGGGCCTGAGTCAAATCCGCTGACTGAAGATCCCTCTCTTACACATGAATGTCGCTTTTCATTTACTGCCTCATTAGAGAAGCGGGCTGAACTGCGAGAATATGCGAAAACTAATTCCTCAGCTGATCTGCGAGAATATGCGAACACTAATACCTTACAGTGTGAGAGTGAATCCCATTTTTGTGTCGCGCGTTTTTCCACAATGCTTGAAATAAGATTTTTCTCGTTCGGTATACCCTCCTTTTACTAATGTTTCGATTATTCTGCCTTGTTTCGTACTAATAGTGTATTCAACATGGCCAGTTATTTCAGTGGCGCCTTGCAGATAACTGATTTGGACGACTTCATCGCGCCTTCACAAGTGAGTAGCTGATAAACATGTCCTGAATCAGCATTACTGTCCATTGCTGGTCCCTGGTGTAAATGTGAAGAGAAAACTCTTCTTCCTCCCAGGAATGTGTGAAACCGATTGAAATCAAGAAGGCAGATAAGGCATCTGATGGACTCATCAGAATCCAGAAGGATGGTTCGTACGTTGAAGAAAAGAAGGTGCGTAAGGGTAATACTCGGAATATCATTTGGTTTCATGCCTAAAGCAGTACAGTATTTTGTGTTCTCAACAGGATGGCTCCAAACGTGTTTTGCAAAGGGCCCAAATCACGCTCAACGACTGCCTTGCGTGTAGTGGATGCATCACTTCTGCTGAGCACATTCTCATCACCCAGCAGAGTTCGGCGGAGTTGCTCAAGGTGTTAGCAGAAAATGAATCCTGCTCTGATCAAGTGAGTCAGTTGGGAAGTGAAATTCTCATTACGGTACTCGGGTTGATGATCCTCAGAAAATTGAACGGTTTTTTCTGACAGGATCCTGCGTGGAAATTGGTCGTGGTTTCCTTGTCCTTGCAGTCAATTTTATCTCTGGCTCAAAAATATGCGTTGGAAGCTCAAGAGTGTGCCAAGAAAATTTGCGGTGAGTTATCCCAGTCGGCACACGTCTGATGGAATGTCATTGGTGAAACGTGCTGTAATGTTATGTAAAGATCTTGATCTGAAACCTCCACACCTATTGTAAAAAATCCTTGGCTTCATGCATATTTATTCCATAAATAAAAATCCTCGTGTATTTTGCAGTGTTGAACTAAAAGTACAGTAATGTCTCAAGCGTATGATAGACTATATGTACGGTTTGTTTTTAAAATGGGTTTCCGAAGCTTAAATGAATGAATCATGTGCTGTATGCTTCAAACATGTTGATTGCGAAGTGGTTGACGTAATCCTTTTCGACTTTAGGCTACCTGAAGAAGAAGGGGGTTCATAGGATCTACGATATTTCGACAGCTAGTGAAATCAGTTTGAGGGCATCAACATCAGAATTCATCGAACGTTGGAAAAAAAGAGATGAAGACCCTTTTGCTCTACCAATGCTTTCTTCAGCTTGCCCTGGTGAGTGAATTTTCAGTATTAGAAAACACGTCAGCTTACTGATCAGGGATTGTCTCGGATTCCTCCAGGTTGGGTCTGCTATGCGGAGAAAACGCATGGGAATTTCATTCTGCCTTACATAGCTCGTGCAAAGTCTCCTCAACAAATCATGGGATCCATAGTGAAGGGCCATCTGGCAAGAAATATATTTTGCAAAAAGACGAACCAGATTTTTCATGTAACAGTGATGCCCTGTTTTGACAAAAAGCTGGAGGCTTCCAGGCCAGATTTCGCCTCTCCAATTCAAGATGATGGTAATGGAGGAATCAGGGATGTTGACTGCGTCCTAACGTCGAGTAAGTTATTGCCTATGTGAAGTATCTCAAGCAAAAATTCATCACTGGAAGCTCCGGTTTATTTTGTAGTCGAAATCCAAGACATGATCCTGAAAGATGGTGTGGATTTAACTCTGGTGGATCCCGAGAATTTGGATGAAATAATTCCTTGTCCAGATGCACCGATTCCAGACCATGACTACACGGTTCTTGGTCGGATGGGGTCCAGTTCAGGAGGATTTTTACATCGCGTTTTTTTGCGTGCTGCAAAAACTCTGTTCGACACTGAGCTCGATACGGTAGAACTGAAGCAAATCAGGTGAGGAAAAAAGTTTAGATCTCCAGAAAAAAAGATAGCATCAACTAGATTTTTGTGTGTTGGGCAGGAATCAGGATTTTCAGGAAACCATCCTGGAGAAAAATGATCAAGCTGCGCTTCACTTTGCCTTGGCATATGGCTTCAACAACATCCAGAATATGATTCAAAAATTGAAAAGGAAGAAGGCAGTTGGTTGGCAATACGTAGAAGTCATGGCATGTCCTTCAGGTTAGTTTCATGTGACATACAGTTTGCCTTGTATGAACCAAGTAACCATGAAAGATGACTTCCAACTTGTGAAGATTTTATAGATACTGTAGCTGATTTTTCCTGCTCAGTAAAATTGAAACGTAACCCTCTATTGGCCATTGACGTCTTGTTTCATTATTGCAATGTTTTCTTGAAGTTCTGTACATAAAAGGTTGACAGAGTTGTTGAGGGAAGAAAAGATTCACAAAGATAAATCCTTGCCCGTTTTTCACGCGGTCGGGGTGGTTCATGGAGAAAACAAACTTAATGAACGTAATTTGTACGGATTTAACTGCTGCCAGGGTGTGTTAACGGAGGTGCTCAGATCAGACCTGACAATGACGAAGTCAAACCCAGGGAGCTGGCTTCAACTCTGTCCCAAAAGTATGCTGAACTACCGAAATGGGATGACGTACAAGATGCTCTGGTTGATGACTTGCTAAAAGCATGGTTGGATGTACGACATCCTGGAGACCTTTCCAAATCTAATCCGAAGACCGCCTGTTTGTTTACCGAGTATCATGCTGTGCCCAAGATGGTGAATGCCTTATCCATAAAGTGGTAACTGGAATCGGCTCGGGTAGAAAAGGGCATGTAACCTGTTACAAGAAAGTCGTGAGATCTCAGTGAATGTCATGGTTGGAGGCCTGTCACTCTTCGGGACTTGTGTCATGTTCTACGCAGCGAGCAAGTGTGAAAGATGATGGTGCTACTTGGTGATGTGAGGAGTGCAAGTAATCGAAATATTATGAATACTTCTCCGACCAGGTGTCGCTCCGAATTTGGAAAGCTTCATGACCGCAGTAAAGTGCCGTATTTTTCAAAATGCTTTTCTATTTTGTTCACATTTCGTACTTCCTGTGATCCCTTATCCTCATCATTTCTAAAAATCGACTTCAGTATTTACCTGAATTTCCTCTGTCATTTTTAAGTGCCCGTAAAGTATGTTGGTTGCTTCTATCCAGCTGATGAGTTGATGGATAATAGGCGCATTTGTATTCTGGTATGTGTGAGAACATTTTCTCATGAATGACCCTTCCGCAGTGGAAGAAAAATTCTCACGTAATCCAGCAATTACACATAATTATTTACTGCAAGTATGTTTGTCTGTAATATTAGCTGTCCTGAGAACATCTGTCCGACTGTTCAGAGCTTTAGACCATTGCCGGAAAGCAGAAGCCCGAAAACGAAGAATTTGTTATTCGTGACAATCCTCAGACTTTTAAATATCCTTTGTGTAATTCCTGAATTCTGCTCGATTTTGTCCGGGTGTGAGTTGATTGTTCTATTAGAAAGAAGGAAGATCAATTTTGATGAGGGAAACCTGCGAAGAAAAATTTTGAGAGTTGCTGGAGTTTTGACTATATGCGCATGTAAATTATGGCTCTTGGTGTTTCAACCTCAAATTATTGAAAATGATTTTTGCGGCTTCATAGAGACTCAACTTCCTTGTGATGAATTCCCTATAATTTTCAAGTCGACAGTTGCCTCTCTCTTGCAAAATACAGCATGTACTGCAAAATGAATCGAGAAATTCAAAATGTTTCTCCACCCTTTGAATGCCACCAGGGTATGCTTGTGAAACAATTCATTGCACTGAATTAAATTTGAAAATTTTCCTTCAAATTGGAAAACCTCGAAAAGTTTCCAGTGTGGCCTAAAAGGACTCTACACCTCTGCAATGTGGCCCTTGGCCGCACCTGAGTTGGGCTGCAATGCTGCTGAATACGGTAGTAATTTCGGCATGATCTTTTACTGACCCATGTGGTGTCTACTTTGATTGAAACTTTCACCGGAAACCCTGAAAATCAAGTTCACGTGAAAGACGGTACTCAAATTAGTCGTAATTATCGTAAATCTGTGGTGTTTCTGAAACAATGAAGTGTTGTCCGAATATCCTGATATTTCGCGCGAAAAATGAAAGGAAATTCTGATTCGGATCAACGTACCCGTCACGGTAATCGAACCAACAAAAAGGCTTTCTAAAACAGACTAGCGATCACAATTTGTACGTCATGCACCTGCAATGATGACCGATACTTTTAACCGTTCAAGACGCAGTTCATTCTTCGCTTTTACATACATTTCGTTGTTTGGCACGCGATTTATGTTGAGGACAGCGTAAAAACCCTTGCGTGTACAGCGGCTAAGAACCTCATTAAAGTTTTGTTTCGATCAAACCATCACCAAATCCGGAACGGAACTGTTATTTTCTGTCCAGATTTTCTCGTGATCTGCAAAAGAAAACAAAAATGCTCTCGAATGTAGTTGAGGTACTTCCCTGATTCCATGGTGAGCAAGCGTAGATTTCTGAAGTTGTTTGACCGAATTTAGAAGTTGCTTTCATAGGAATTATTTTATTTAAGGCTTACTTGGAATTTCTGGAGCTGATTTCAGTCGTGCGCGTGAACCTCTTCTGAGCATTCAAGTTGATTGACGTTCATTTGATAAGATTAGCTAGTCATGAATGCTAACTCAATTTCTTACCACCTCGTCATACATTTAATGCCCTCCTCAACTGTCAACCCGTCAAGCATACTCGTATATGTATAGACTTGCTTTCATTCATTATGTTGTTAACCTGGTTGATGGAACGTCTCACGTAATCGATTTTTTGCACGATTAGGTCTTCCGCCGATTCTTGCTTTTCATCCTTAACTTGGACTCGCTGAAGACGGATGAAGGATTGTATGGTAAAATATTGTCATCGAAACAAATGAAATTCCTGCGTGAAGCGGGGCTGCAAAAATTTTTTTTGGACTGGTTATATTTTTTATTGTCGTTTTTTATTATTAAATAATTGAATAAAACTTTGTTTCTTGTCTCTCTCCGTGCGTTGCTTTTTAAATTAATTGAATCTCATAGTCAGTGTGGGTGATACACATTTTCTTGGGCTGCCTTATGTTTCATCAATCAGTTTGAGATCTGCTGACTGCCGTGAAAATAAAAGTAGAATCTAGGATCACGTGACAGTCAAGTCATGCTGATAACGATCTGAAATCCCTTTCGTGAATGCAAGAATTAAATTCTGCGAGAGCAACTTCGATCCAACCGCTGGGAAAAGTTTTTGTATTTGCTCCCCCTTTTTTTCCGTTTCCGGAATTGAAGGTATATGCGGGGGTGGAAATTTTTAGGGTAAAATCGGCTTGAACCCTAGTAACCCCGTGACCCGTGGCGACCTCGTTCGGATAGTAGAAAGACGACCTGACCTGGGTTTCGTAGTAAAGCGACCCGCGGAACGATTGCGTGGCAGTGCATAGGGATTTGTATCTCGGGAACCCTATGCCATTATTCCGGGGAACTCATTAGTTATACTGCTGAGCCCGAAGTCGTTTCCACGTGGGGTTTATCCGAAAAATCTTACATCTCAGGATTCACTGCTTTTTTTATATCCGAAATTTCATGAAACTTTAATTCAGGACCTTGTAGCGACAGAACTTATAAACACTTATTCGATAACCTTCGTGATGTCCTTTTAGTTCAAAGTAATCTTATCATATATTACGAGGTTCATTATATGAAATGGCTGCAGTATTCGTTCTTCACGTATTTCTATTTTTGTCGAGGAAAAATGTTAGCATGCTCTTGACTTTTTTACTGCTTATAATAACGCGCTGAATGACAAATACTGGATTCGATCACATAAATAAGTCTGGGGCTCGCAAATGTGGATTACAGCATTTTAAATATATTATACTTATCGACTATCATTGTTCTCCTCATAAATTAAAAGTGTGTCACATCCCACATTATTCACCGATTTACTTCATGTTTTTGAGAATGCCTTGCGTAACAAAGGCATGTAGGGTTTAATTTTTTTTTAGCGGAACAGCGTTATTTGAATCAACTTGAAACTCAAAATGTTTAGTTTTGGAATAATCTGTATAGTTTATTGTGTATCATTTTAAAAAGGAAAATACTGTGCTGTATAGAGGCTTTAAAATCCAAATGATGCATTTTTTGTAGCAGCTGACTTGATGACTAGGAAACGTTTAAAATGTATTGATGTGGCTTTATTTACTATTCTTGAAACTTGTTTATTTTTTCTTTATGTATGAAGGTGAACTATGCGGAGTCATTTTTGCGTTTTGGTTTGCTGATGTTGGCCCTAAAGAGAGCTTTTGCAAGGCTATACTATCAGCATGAGGGTTGCTGTTTTTATTATTACATTCGTATAATAGGACACAGCATTTTTAGTGCATGATGAAAATTTTTATTAGCTTTTACATTAGTCTTCGTGCATTTCTCGAATGACAGTATTCTGTTATTATTATGATACAGCTTCAAAAGCCTGCCATCTCAAAGAATATAACTTCTGGAATATCCAACGTATCACTTTCAAAGAAGGGGTGGAGGGGGGATAAAAAGGTGGTGTTCGTGGTTGTGCCCTGGCCAGCGGCCAAATTGCATCGTTCCGGCTTCCGTGTTGCGTTCCTGAGGAAACAGCGAGACTTCGATCCCGGATCTGCATCAATTATGCGGGGCAATGCCTCCAGTTTCAAGTCAGCGGGGTTTCTTCCTGAAGGAAGTTACCATTTGTGCTGGGCTTCTATGGTTTCATCACATCGTTTTTATAGTCTTTCTTCCATTGTATTTGAAGCTTGAATAAAATTGCTCCCACAAAGATTTTTTCTTGGTTTACATCAATTCCATTCGAAAAAAAATCTGGAAGGCATACATTCTGAAAAAGAGCACAAGAAATTCCGAGGAATATGCGATTTTGCAAAATTTTTTTAACGCTACATTCTCTCAACAGAAAGTTTTTCTTTGTTGATGAAGTTCGAATGCTGCACCAGTTCAATTTTCCATTTTCTGACGTTTATCAAATAATCTCTATGGCATTTGCACATAATTAGGACCAAAATTCTGTTATACTGAGATTACAGCCTTGAATGAGTTTTTTATTGAAACAATATGTTCATACCATTGCGCCTACGAAGGAACTGCTGTGACCCAAAAAACATTGTTATAATGAAATTTTTGAAGGAATTTTACTGTATTTGGTAGCAGTTGCATTACTTGAACATTTATGAAAATCTAATCAAGGCGGATACTGTACATCACGAATGATTTACTCGACATTTTTATGGAATTCTATGCTGGAATCTCCCTGTTCCAATGCGGCTGAGAAATTATTGAAAAAGTAGCAAAATGATTAAATAGTAGAAGGAATTGAAATTTACTGTCGTACTCATTGATCTTGGGGTTTTAACGAGGGGATCGCCAGAATGAAAAAAAAGAACGAATCAACCTGTTAAATGTTCTTTCTATGTGTGTCGCAACTCTTGAGCGATTGAAAAAACGATAAATAAAAATCAACTTTGAGCTAATTTTTATAAACATGTCCTGGTATAATAGGAAAAGCCGGGAATCGGAGTAGTTAGACTTGATGAATCCCCTTTTTCTTTCATCCTTGCTCAAGCTATTCCGAGATTCTTGGATTAAATCACCACAAGCGCCGAAATTCCTAATTGCATTCGCCCGTAACTATTCTTTAAACAGCGAGACTTCGATCCCGGATCTGCATCAATTATGCGGGGCAATGCCTCCAGTTTCAAGTCAGCGGGGTTTCTTCCTGAAGGAAGTTACCATTTGTGCTGGGCTTCTATGGTTTCATCACATCATTTATAGTCTTTCTTATCCATTGTATTTGAAGCTTGGATAAAATTGCTCCCTCAAAGATTTTGTTTTGGTTCACATCAATTCCATAAAAAAAAAAAAATCTGGAAGGCATATATTCTGAAAAAAAGCTCAAGAAATTCCGAGGAATATGCGATTTTGCAAAAATTTGTAAACGCTACATTCTCTCAACAGAAAGTTTTCTTTGTTGATGAAGTTTGAATGCTGCACCAGTTCAATTTTCCATTTTCTGACGTTTATCAAATAATCTCTATGGCATTTGGTGTATTAATCCTGGTTTTAAGACAATATGACTCTAATGTCGGAACTTACTCAAAAAATAACTTTGTTATACAAGTATGGTAACGCGGATGCTTCCTTGACGACACTGGGTTTTTTGTAACAATATTAGAAATTTTTGAAGGAATTTTACTGTATTTGGTAGCAGTTGCATTACTTGAACATTTATGAAAATCTAATCAAGGCGGATACTGTACATCACGAATGATTTGCTGTGACCCAAAAAACATTGTTATAATGAAATTTTTGAAGGAATTTTACTGTATTTGGTAGCAGTTGCATTACTTGAACATTTATGAAAATCTAATCAAGGCGGATACTGTACATCACGAATGATGTACTCGACATTTTTATAGAATTCTATGCTGGAATCTCCCTGTTCCAATGCGGTTGAGAAATTATTGAAAAAGTAGAAAAATGATTAAATAGTAGAAGGAATTGAAATTTACTGTCGTACTCATTGATCTTGGGGTTTTAACGAGGGGATCGCCAGAATGAAAAAAAGAACGAATCAACCTGTTAAATGTTCTTTCTATGTGTGTCGCAACTCTTGAGCGATTGAAAAAACGATAAATATAAATCAACTTTGAGCTAATTTTTATAAACATGTCCTGGTATAATAGGAAAAGCCGACTTAGCCTCATCAATCTGAACTACTTAGGGGAAAAAGAAAGTAGGAACGAGTTCGATAAGGCTCTAAGAACCTAATTTAGTGGTGTTCGCGGCTTTAAGGATTAACGTAAGCGGGCATTGATAAGAATGATGCTCGGTCGGGGCGCGACTTCGGGGTCTATATATGTTTCAATTAAAGTTCCATTTCTAGAAATCCGGGTCACTGCGCGGTTTCTGTTTTTAAGAACGAAATTCCCCTGTTTTTGATAGAACTGATCAAGGAATGACGTACAGTATTTGCAAGGTATGACGCATATTTCGTAAGCAGTACAAAAAATAGTCTTTGTCTAAATGCAAACTTTAGTCTACACCAGTGTTCTTTTAAAATAAACCAGTGTTTTCCAACCTTTTTGGACGCGCGGACCAGAAAATTTTCATAAAAATTCTCTGTAGACCAGCATATTTCCATAAAATTTTTGCAGTATGCCAGTAAAAAATTTTAATTCCTCCCATAAAGTCCTCTAAACAAATTGAGCAAGTGAAAAGTAATCCTGAGTGCTGTTATGGGTAAAACCAATTATTATTTTGTAGTCAGATGATTTCAACTGCCAAACAGAAAACTTTGACAGCATATTGTTATTGTATGAAGTAATGTTGAAGACTACGTAAATGACATAATACGACTTTTAAAGGGCGCATGACCGTTTTGTGAAGGCTCCTGGTCGTGACCAGGCACCTGTTGGGGAACACTGAAATAAATTATTCTAATTTTTCATCCTGAGAAGCCTTTCTTCAAGACAAACTTTCTATTTTTTGCCGACAATCAACTATTGGGCTTCATTGGTGATTGACTCAATTTTTTTCAAAAATCAGAAACTTTTTAAATACCTGCCGTAATATATTTCAAGCAAAACTCTTCTGAGTCTGCGAAAATGTTACGGAAATTTGCTCGACCGTGGGTCCAAAAAGGTTGGGGAAACTGATTTTTATACATTTTAGAATATTTGTTATAAACTTCTTTCTATACATCTGATTGCAGCATGATGATGATCATGTCTTGAGCCAAATTCATCTCTCAGAAGCAAAAGAAAAAAATGAAGCGAATGAGTTTTTCTTGGAATCGATTTCCATGATTGTGCACAGGAGAAAAATCCCTTTGATTTGCGTAGTGTGGAGACCGAGAAGTCGTCGACAAATGACCACCGAGAGCAGAGCGATTTCTCTTCGCTTTATTTCTCCTTCGTTCTTTCTTGTGTCCAAGACGAACAGCCCCGTCCACCAAAAAAGCAGATATATATATATATACATATGAGTAAAGGCGAAGAAGTTTCTTTTTATCCCTCACGCGAATAGATCTTGCCATCAAAGAATTTCCGTCAAAAAGTCTGGGGAATATTGTTCTCTCGAGAGTGTGACGTCCAACAAATGTCCTGGCGGANTTTATTTCTCCTTCGTTCTTTCTTGTGTCCAAGACGAACAGCCCCGTCCACCAAAAAAGCAGATATATATATATATACATATGAGTAAAGGCGAAGAAGTTTCTTTTTATCCCTCACGCGAATAGATCTTGCCATCAAAGAATTTCCGTCAAAAAGTCTGGGGAATATTGTTCTCTCGAGAGTGTGACGTCCAACAAATGTCCTGGCGGAAATTTTCTTCCTTTTATAAAAGTCGTGTTGAGTGTATATAGCCAGGCCACTCGAATCATTTTAGAAATGCTGCATATTTT